ACACACACACACACACACACACACAAACACGTTTATACTAATTTGTGTATATATATAAAAAAAATGTATATATACATACTGTATACACAGTTGCTATATAACTTATACTATATAAAATTATTATACAACTGTACTATATAAACATACGTATTATAATTTAATTACATTTTAGTTACAAAACATAAAAATATATAAATATATTAAATAAATATAATATATAATAAATAATACATTTATTATTTATTTATATATTTATTATAACATCGGCACATGAAAATAATTATATATTTTATATATGTACCAATATTTATATATGTACCATTGTTATAATACGCTGTAACAAACAACAATATTATAGAGTTAGAAATAAGCATTTTGAATTGTGATGCAAACAAACAAATATTAAACTGGAAAAATGCCTCGAGTATCACTGAGAACATTTTGTTTAGTTCTGTCATTTTAAAATGTACTTTACTGGAGCAAATACATAACTGAGATATGAAGCTATATGGTTCAGCCCTGCGATCAACTACCAGAAAACTACCCAGACCTTCATTCGTTTGCTCTGACAGACCTGCGGATCCGAGGAAGAGGAGCACAGTGATCCAGTAAACCCAGAAGAGCATGAGCGTGAGGAAGGTCCAGACGGGCTGCAGGGCCAGCAGAGGCAGATGGGTGAACACTTTACCGGCCACGTGAAACAGAGCGATGGTGAGCGCCACACGCTTCCTCATGAAGAACATCAGCAGCAGCAGAATCACCTGAGTATTACATATTTGCACATTAAAAATTCTTGGCGTTTGGCAGTTCATATAGTAGTATGCAAATCCAAACCTACCATGAAGACCGTGGCAGCGATGGCGTAGATGAGCAGGGCTTTCTGGTTGTCTTTGGCCACCTCCAGTTCCAGAGCCGGTAGAGTGACGTTCACAGATTTTGACTGATCCACATACAGCCACCACAAGATCCCCGTCCCACCTGCCACAAACACAGCGCTGCCTCACATCACGGGCTCTTTATGACGTTCAGCTGGTGACAGTTGGCTGCTTGTCCTTTCATTTATTTCTATGTAATACCAAAGTCTCACCAATCGACCCGACCACCACGACAGCTGTGAGAATCCAGACCAGAACCACAGAGATGTAGCGGATCACAACCATCAGGATCAGAGACAGAACTGCAGCACAGAGCAGAGACAGAACGGTGCTTTAAACCTCGCTCTTCTGACCACTGACGTTTAAAGGGATAGTTCACCCAAAAATGAAAATTCTGTCATTAATTACTCACAAACCGCAATAATACGAAGCTACTAGAATACTTTTTGTGCACAAAAGAAAAAGAAAAAACGACTTTATTCAACAATTCGTCTCCTCCGCATTACCCTGTAGCACCGTTTTGGAGAATATCCACTGGAGGTAAACAGCGTATGCTGTTCTGTGTCAACATACAAAAAGTATTCTCGTAGCTTCGTATAATTGCGGTTTAACCACTGATGTCACATGGATTATTTTACAGATCTCCTTGCTACGTCTCTGGACTTGGGAACATTTCAGACTAAGCTGCATTTATTTGATCAAGAATACAGTAAAAATACTGTTAAATATTATTACAATTTAAAACAGCTGTGAATATATATTCAAATGTATTTCATTAATTGAAAAAAAAAAAAAAACATTAACTGAAATAAAATAAAACACCAACATATTTCAGCAATAAAAAAAAAACACAACAAAATTACTAAAACTAAAATTAAAATGAAATAAAATAGAATTCAAACTTTAGCTAGTAATGAATAAAAACTATTCAGACATATTTAATAAAAACTAAAACGAATAAGATTATGAAAACAACAAAAAGAAAGTTTAAATTGATGTACTAAAAGAAATAAAAGTGAAATAAAAATGTATAAAAACTATATATTCATGTTTAATAACAAAAACGAATATATATATTTTTTTAAATGTTAAAACTAACTCAAATTAAAATGAAATAAAATAAACGGCAAGTGAAATAAAATAAATCTTATTTCAGCTAGTTTCCAATGAAACATTTCTCATTTTCATTTTGTTTAAATTGATGTACTAAAATAACTAAAAATGAAATATTATTATTATATTATAAATATTAAAAACTATATAGTCATGTTAAATAAAAAACTAAAACTAATAAAAAATTGGGAAAAAACACAACATAGAAAATACTAAAACTAACTCAAATTAAAATGAAATAAAATTAACAGCAAGCGAAATAAACTTATTTCAGCTAGTTGCCCAGGAAACATTGTCAAACATTTTAATTTAGTTTAACATGACGTGCTAAAATAACCCAAACTGAAATAAAAATGTAAATATTTAATACAACAAAAATGAAAAAATGTTAAAAATACTAAAACATCAAAATGAAAATCGAAAATATGTAAATAAAAACCAATTCAAAATATTAATAAAAACTATAATATAATATCTTGATATTAAAAATAGCACTGATGCAAATCGGGTTTTATATTTATGACTTGAAAGATGTTAATGGAAGTTTTGAGGAATGTCATTTGTATGAATGTTGGTTTCCTAAGTTTTGATGAGAACAGCTGACCGAGAGCGAGCAGACACAGGCCCATGATGATCTCTCTGGATGTCATCACTCCAGCGATGACCCGGTGCACCACGCTGTTGTCACTGACGAAAGTGATGAAGGCCTCGGCAAACTTGGCGTAGCAGGAAATGTCAACGGGAATACAGCGGTGAAACACTGGTAAAGATGCACTGCACGAAAAAAATGACAGTTTGAATGGAAATTGATCAAACCTACAAATCAAATATCTACCTAATGTTTTTTGTATGTATAAGCAGTAATCTTTTAAGACTTCATGAAATCATAAGACAAGATGTTTTCTTTGCTGTGTTGACATACTTTCTTCAGAAAGAGGACGTTTGGGTGGAAATATCGATGGATCTGTTCTTGTTCCAATAGTTATGAATCATGATTTGCAACTTGCTATCTCTAGACAGTGACTTTTTAGTGGAAATATTTTATGACAAATGTATATTTAAAACATAATATATAATTTATAGTACTGACACTGTACACTTCAATTCAAAAGGTTAGAGTCAGACTCAAGTGCTCTGCATTTATCCCATCCAAGTGCACACACACACACACACA